CAGATTATTTACAGGGGTGGAGTCAGACAGATTATTTACACAGGGGTGGAGTCAGACAGATTATTTACACAGGGGTGGAGTCAGACAGATTATTTACAGGGGCGGAGTCAGTCAGATTATTTACAGGGGCGGAGTCAGACAGATTATTTACAGGGGTGGAGTCAGACAGATTATTTACACAGGGGTGGAGTCAGACAGATTATTTACAGGGGTGGAGTCAGTCAGATTATTTACAGGGGCGGAGTCAGTCAGATTATTTACAGGGGCGGAGTCAGACAGATTATTTACAGGGGTGGAGTCAGTCAGATTATTTACACAGGGGTGGAGTCAGACAGATTATTTACAGGGGCGGAGTCAGTCAGATTATTTACAGGGGTGGAGTCAGTCATTCTTGTTAATATTAATCTGATTAAGAGGAATTCATCTGATCTTATTAAATCTGTGTCTGCAGCAGCAGATGTGATGTTTGTTCCTTGGAGGCGGAGCTTCAGCAGAATAACGCTCACAGTTTGATGGCCTGTCTCTCTGTATGATGTGTGTTTGTTGACACTGCAGTAATGAGTGGTTTCTGGGTGTAATTAACCTGTTCAGTGTAAACATGTTGGCCTTTTGTTTGTGTCCTAATTAAAGAGGAAACTAGAAGCTGACATGTTGACTTTAAACTCTGCTGAATGCTGCTCCTCTCTCCAGTCGTTTGTCTCTGCCTCTCATCCCTTTCTTCTTCTCCTCCTCCAGCAGCAGCTGTGTGTGCGCAGAGTGAGTCTGTGTTTAATGTGAGGTCAGAGCAGCTTTTGCAGGACATGTCAGCTGAGCTCAGTCTGCTGAGAGACGAGTCACTGAAACACCTTCAGTCCTGATGGAATCAGAACATTTAGAAGTTCTTCTGTTGATCTTCTGACCACCCTGCTGACCTCAGCTCTGTTTCTTCTCATGAAGAAAACAATCAGAGCTGAGCAGAACAGAACCGAGCCTCCTCCCTGTTCCTCTGGAGGTCCAGGCTCTGTGGACATAGACCTGATGGGACTTGTCTCACCTGTCTGAAGGACACTGTCCTCCAGACTTAATGTCTTCTCAGGATGTGTTTGATAAACTCCAGGTCTGATCTGGATCACAGGAACCGGTCCGGTCTAACCCTCTTTGTTGTCTTGTCTTGTTGCAGGACATCTCGCGCCGCCTCTGTCCTCCTGTCTGACCCCTGCTTCCAGCTTCACTCCATCCAGCACCTGCTGGGAGACCCAGGAGAGTCCTCTGGACCTGCAGCCGCCTCCTCCGGTCCTGCAGTCGGGTCTTTGGGTTCCTCTGTGGTTCCAGCGGTTCCTGCAGCTGTGGGGAACTCCTCGGAGCGGAAACATTTCTCCCTGCATGCGTGTGAGTTTATCTTCTGCTGGTCCACAGGCCAGGTGCATTCTGGGTAATGTAAGGACCATCTGATAAGTTCTGTTGGATCAGGAGGACCTGAACCACCAGCTGCTACAGATCTGACTCAGAACTGAACCTAAAACTACGTTAGAAAATCTGGAGTCAGCAATAATGTTTGTAAGTGTTGCCATGACGATGAGGATGATGATGAGGAAGATGCTCACAGCATACTGTCAGCCCTTCATCAGCTGATGGAGCTACACTGGTTCTGGGTGTGGGGG